TATATATATATATATATATATTTCTTCCTTCTTCTTCAACAACTTGTGATAAAACAGTGCGATCTCGCTAGAAAGCCAACAATCATATGGACGGTTGCGAACGAAATTAATGGAGGTTTGTAGAATGAAGATCCCTCGTTTACTACGAACGTATTCGCGCAAAACCGTTCGGTCTTTCGTAGGTCTAATCTTAAATCGCGCATAGATCTGGAAGCAAATTGACATTTTGCATATTCTCTTGATACGTCACGATTCATTTATATTAATTCTTATACACACATACACATGCACGCCGCAAGTTCTATCGAAAAATATTCTTCGATGAATCTTCACGATCAAATTCAAAACTATCGATCTACGTTCATACGCTCGCGCGTTATATATATGTATTTTTTCCTTTTTTTTATTAATCCTTTGGAAACATTATTGTAGATATTGCATAATTGCCATTTTGAGCAATATTCCTTTTCACAACCAGTGATTAGTTGCTAACGATTCACGCATTATCGAGAAAAAAATTGCACGCGATGAATCGTTAACGAGCGCGATTGAACTACGCCATAAAAGCGCGAAATAATCTCTCGCACTTAATTGCACGCAATTATCGTTGTAACTGATAAAGCCCCAAAGGATTAATTCCATGTCCCGAATGTGTCAATCTTTCCAATTTACTACTTCACCTCACAGATCGATCCATACGCGATCGTACCAATTCAACCTCGTGATATATTTAAGTGACAGATTGTCAGTATCCGTCGATATATCATTGCTCGTAGATATTTCTCTGTGAGAGAATCTAATCAGGACGAAGATCTAATTGTGGGACGCGAAATTAACTCACATAAAACACGAAGTGTTCCCTTACGAGAAGAATTTCATCGGTTCCCATCCTATCCATGGTAAAAGCACTTTCTCGCTGTATATAAGCAATAACTTGTAACAATTTATATAAGTCAATATCACCAACAATTTCCAACAACGCGTTACGATGCATTCGATGTATCGACGTTTCCTTCGAAACTCGCCGCTCCGACGAGTTCAAACTAAGCCAAATATGACATTATCTTGCAAAATCACAAAGATCATTATTTACCTCCTGTGATAGTTTCTCGAACAATTGTATATGTTCCAGTAAATATTCCGAATGTCCCAAATGTAAAAAAAATCATTCGCAGGCACATCTTTAATATAATGCATAAATATACCTTTTTCGAAACCTTTCCTTTCTCTTTTACTGGAAATCTCTTTTCAAGACTCATCCGAATCGCTCCCAAAGAATGACAGCAATTACATAATTTAATCTGCCAACGATGAAAAGCACATAATATTGGCGATAAAATCCTCGAGCGATTCGCCAATCTCCTTTGGTTATTCCACCAGGCTCGACAGAGAACCGCGCAACTCCCGATGCTACGTCATCGTCGAAGGATGCGATTCCGGTGGTGCCGGCAATTGCGGCCGATTCGAGAGTCGCCTTGGCCAGCGTTGTGGCGAGACCGGCGGTGTCGGTCTCGGCGTATTCGGCGCGGAACCGGCGGTCAATCTCCAATTGTTACTAGAGAACGCACTCGATCTGCCTACGGCGGAGAGATTGGTGTTGCTGCTGCTGCAGGCGACCGCCGCCGAAAGATCCACCCTCGACACAGCCCTAAATAATCAACATTGTTCAACTTTCGGAAAGGGGGATATTAAGTTAGGACTGTTTTTTCGATTAAAATGAGTAAGCTTTGAGATGTACAAATTAGATATTATATTAAAAGTTTTATATTTAAGCGGAATTAAGTGATGTTTACTTATCTTGGGGAAATATTAGGAATGTAGGAGAAATCACACATATATGAAAGTCGATGAATCTAATACATATTTATTGATAAAAAATTATTAAATAAGACATCAAAACATCCGAGAATTGAGCGATTACAAGCACTGCATTAATTGTTATACTTAAACACATACAACTTGAATTGTCGAGTGATTGATGAATTCGCTTGATTTCCATTTGATTTTAGCTTTAAATAATGAATATTATCAAATTATATACGTATTTAAATACTAACAATACAGTTTCTGTTGTTTAATTTTTGAGATATATCAATATTTTGCTTAACTTTTAGATTTTTGTTAATGATTTCTTCTATGTTCCGATGTTTCTCTAAAATAAGCGATACGCTCGACTCCATTTAAGTTACCCTTTAATATGATATATAATTTGTACATCTCGGAACTTTTGCACATTTTAACCGAAAAACAGCCCTAACTTAATATTTTCCTCTAATCCTCAAGAAACGCGTCTCAGTTTGCGATATCCAAATAACGTCCAAAAACACGTCCGTTTATTTTCTTTTCTTTAATAAATAATCTATTTTCTCTTAATAAAAAAATATGTTTTTCTTCTCAATCTCATATTTTTATAAATATAAATATGACAATTAAAATAATTGTAATTGTAATTGTAGGTTGTAACGCTTTAATAAAATAATACAATTTCGAGAATTTCTGAAAAGATTTACCTAGAAGGAGGAGCGGATCCTCCTGTATAAGAATGCAATCCTGCCGGTCCACTCCTCGGTCTCGATGTGGACATAACGCTAGATGATCTGTGCAAAGCCGGTGAGGGTGGTGCGGATGGTAACATCCGTGGTGTTTGCGGAGGTGTCCTGCCAGATGACACGCTTCCGATACTGCTGGTGGATGACTTCCTTCTCAGAGTCCTGTAATTTAGATACATTATTTATTCTACGTAACATTTTCTATCATCTCCATTTGATTTCATTTTCTAGTCTAGTGCATAATAACTTTTTGTAATTCTCTTTTTGTCACATTATACTTGGACAAGATAAAGATGTACATCGCTTTGCAATTGAGATTTTCAATGTAATTACCTCTTAGTTGTCTGACGACAAAGCCCGGTCGGACAAGTGCGTCCCATGGCGCATTTACCTTCGCAAACCTCTTTCGCTAGAGCCAATGTTTCGTAATTCCTCAGGGTGGATCTGCAGACTTCCGCGTCGGACTCGGCGAGAGCGAGGCTAGGGAATCGTTCTTTCAACCTATTACGCTCCTATATCAAGATATAATACAATAGAAATCTAATTTGATGATAATAATATAAAATAACATTAACTGAGTGATTTGAAGATTTTTGTGATAGAATAAAATTCTGACGCAGAAACAAGAAAAAAAACTGTTTATGGGAAAAAGAGAGCATTACATTGTATTGGGTTGTCCGGAAAGTTCGTGCCGATTTTGAAGGAAACGCAGAAGATTTAAATTTTAGTATACATTTATTAAATTATATAGGTTAGTCGGCATGAACTTTCCGGACAACTCAATATTTCAAAAGGAATAGATAAAGAAAAAAAAAAGAAGATATTGTATTGTCTCAATCTGAATTTTTCATAACAAAAATTTCTACAAATTTGAAGTAACATTCTTTGTGTTTATTACTTACGTCTTGTAAACGACTAGACTCGAAATCCTTGAGCTGTTGTTGAAAACCAACATTCGGATTTGCAATCGAACGACCGACTCTAACGACTTTGAGCGCTTCTTTCCAAGATAGATTGGTGGTGCTCATGATATAAGCCACCGCTACTGTCACGCTCCTCGACATTCCCGCCAAACTAAAAAAAAACGTTTTATTCATGAAAATTCAGCTTTTATTTTCTATTTTAATAAATCACAAATTTTATGGAATTTTTGAATATTATATATTTTCAAAATCACTGAATGTTCTTCTTTGACCAAGTTACTTGTATCTTCCTCGTATTTAAAGTTTATATCTTTTTCTTGCTGCCATTTTTCACTCGTTAAAAAATTTGCTTTTTTAATCGATAATTGGGGGGAAAAAATAGTAGATTCGGTATTTTCATTAAAGAAAATTTAAAATTGATTAAAAAATTCTAATCAAAAACGATAATCCAGCGATTTTGAAATATCCTGTAAATGATGCAACAATAAATGTATATACCAATGGATCAGAACGTTTCCGCCGCGAAGACGGGCGGCATGAATAAAGTCGTTGCACAGAGAAAAGTATTGCGACAAATTCTGATCAGGACTGTCGGCGGCTAAGATGCATAAATAATGCTTGTCCTGAAACGCAACCGAAATATAGTATAATTGTATTTTTATAAAGAATATAAATATTTCTAATCTATCCTTTCGCTATTATTCAATTATTCATTCTAAAATACGCATATTATTTGTACTTACGGAATGCAAACGACGAGCTGTGTCGTGAATAGCCAGAATATGCGTGATTTCGAAACGCTCCAATTGATCGGCGTCCTTGCTATCCTGATAATTACCTACGTAAAGACCAGGAAGCACCTGCAAAAGAAAGCGCGAGAAAATTACGAGGCGAGTCTTAATTATACTTAATATTTAATATTAGATACTCCATAATCAAGGACTTCATAATCATCAATTAACTCATAATTAAAATTAACTCATAATTTAAAGCATTATAAAGCGCACTTCCTCAACTGTGACTTTAATTAACAATAAATCATTTTTATTTGTCATTCTTAAAATATTCTTATCTTTCCCTTTTTGGCAGCCCTAATTTAAAATATCGAGCCTCTTTCGACGTCTATTTGACGAAAGATTACTTAAGATTAGACGACTAAGAAATCCAGGTCAGACCGAAGGAGAAAAAAAGCAAACCTGCGTGATGAATTTGTGATGGCCGTCAACGGCGTTGTAATCTTAGATTAGCTTACTGTTGCAAATATTGAATTTTGAAGAGTAGTGTTTAAGCTACAACTGAAGGCATATATTAGTTTAAACTCTACCGTTTTTCTCTTTCCATGATTGTTTGATCGATATTGGTTTAATTTTAATCGCCAGTTCGATTTTACATCGAAGAATCGTCTTCTTTTCTTCCATATAAATGAGTTCGAGAAGTTAACGCGATGAGCGATAGGCAAATTAAGACGTCCAGAAAAGCAATCTGTTACGGCAATCTCTTCAACAACGTTCATGTGTGTGACATTTATTTTCTCGTCGCAATAAACTACTACCAAAACATCCATTCTTTCCCGACGCAGGTCATTAGTCTCAGTTCCCCGGCGATTTAATTTCATTCGAACTTTTTTATCGCGTGGTGATTACCCTCCCTCATCTCCCCCCGTACTGTATCGCTGAATCTGCTCCCTTCTCCGCTCCTCCACGTGCATTGATTTTAGATGAGAAAGAACGACAGATCACATCGCAGTTTCGCCATCGATCGATCAGGAACAAAGAGAGGAGAAAAACATAAACGTAGAAAAAAGGAGGACAACACATTCGTAAAAAGAATGAATAATAATAAAAATAATATTAAAACTGTCGTGCAGCTTGTATTGTTGGCGACGAAAATGCGATTCCGATCGGTGGTCGGGTGTGTTTGTGCAATTCTCTGCGATGTGCAGATAACATCGGGAGATCGATCGCGATCTACCTATCATCCAGTCAGTGACATCGAAACCCTCCTCGTACGTTCTCCGAGAAACATTCCGAACTTGACGTCATCCGTCCTGTCACTTCCGATGTCCCAACTTCGTTCTCCATCGAACTATATCGAGGATGTGATTTTGAAGTCGGGCGAGATTGAAAGAATCAGACATCGAATATTAAAGTTGAAACAAGTGGCCGAAAATATCATTGAACCTTCAGTGATACATCATAAACGAAAAAAGAAATGCAGGTGTCGAAAAAATACAAAATCGTCGTTGCTGAAAAGCAAAACACCAAGAGAATTGAAAGGATTATCTATCGTAAAGAATCTATTTCCATTGGCATCAAAAGTGACAGGAATGACTCTGCGAGTACTCTAAATCATATATCGGAATCAACAATGGAAACTTCAACGACGTCGCAGCATTTCACGGATATTGCCTTTACAATTCCCAACATTGTCCCGTTAACGATTAACGCGATGACGATCGCGGAAGCTGTGAGAAACCCAAGACCAATCGAAATTCTCATAAACGATACAAAATTAAATGCATAATAAAAAAATGTAGAAGGAAAAGGAAGAAAAAATGAACATTATCGACATACTCGATCAGGAATTTTTTCAAGATAATCTCTGGAATATGAGAGCTTCACGAATAGCGACATCGAATTCGCTGAAGAACGTAGATCATCGACCAATCATGATTAAAATGAGATAATTGCAACGAGATAATCACGGTCTATGTACTTCTCGATATCTCAAATGTATGAGCGTGAAATATAAAATGTTGTTTGTGTGTAAAATATATATATATATATATTTGGAAATGCTATAATTTATAAAATTATAAAAGAAACTTGGATCAAGCAAGACGTTTCAAAGAAAATATGTTACGTGGTTATATTTCGTTTTAAATAGTTTAATTTATTGTCAGTGTAGAAGTAATTGAACATTTTATAGTGGAAAAAAATAAAATTGAAATTAATTACTGATTAGAAACATTACATATTATTCTAATTCGTTTTCTTTTGTTTTGTTTCACAAAATTCTATATTGCGTCATTGTCAAAAATTGTAACTATATAATTTTATTTTAAAATAAAGTTCTTATATATAAAATATTCTCTATTCAATATCTTCAATCAAACGAATTATTGAAGTCTATTACGTTTAGTAATACGCAGACAATTTATATCAAAGTAAGATAAAATTCTATAAAGTGACTTGATGAAGAAATATGTATTAAAAGTTGCAACGTGTAAATTAAATTATCGACTCATCATTTATTTAATGATTCTATCGTATTTTATAAATCAATCGTAATCAAAGGGGATTAGCGTAAATGATTTATCTCTTCGCAACATTTCTGTCAGGTTTATTTCTCGTACTTTCGTTTCGCGATTATGAACCGTATGATCGCGTCCGTTACCGGACATAAAATTTTATTATTATCAAGCATATTATGTCTGTCGTTAAGCTCGCGGTTATGACAACGCTAGTAAGTCGTTATATTGAAACGCGTTTAAATAAGTTGTCGAGTAAGTAATAAAGGCGTGAAGTCAATCTTTCGATCAGAACTTCTAGTCACTTTATAAAAAGAAAACCTCATCCCTTGTTGCTCCGAGAAAAAAAAGATGCGTTTAATAAAAATCCAGTGGCTATTGTTTAATAGTATATCTGCAACCCAGAGCGATAACAAACATATAATTAATTCTTTGTAAAGAAAAAAGTCACTTTGAAAGATTTTAAATGGAATTATTAATAGAACAAAAAATTAGTTGAATCTTCAGTGTCCTTTGATTTCTTTCATTTTGTTCAGAATCATTAAATTTTTAAGACAAGTTTCTTTAGACGCTTGTATACTTAAATCTTTTGTATGAAGTAGCCAATTAATTGCTGTCTATCAATAGGCTAAAGAAGACGATAGAACGAATAGTTGAGACGACAGAAGCAAAAGCGTATATTTTAAAACGCCTCGTGCGTCCACGATAAAAGCTCTCAAATATTCCATATAATAGATAATAAGAAATATTGATAACTGAAAATGAGAAGGAAAGAGAATGCAACATTATCAAATAAATTATACAAGACTCGCTAAATAAATGCAAATTGAATAGCAAACGTTTTGATCCCGTTTTAGAATTTATATCCATCAAAAAAAAAATTCAAAGCGATAAATATTTAATATGTTTCGCGAGAAGTGAGACGTCCTATATAATTTCGTTCTAGAAACTATTCTTGAATAGAAGAGAATTTCTTGAACCTAATCTACATTTCTACTGGTATGAAAAATGCATTCGTTTCCTTCTCTTTCAGCTAAAAGCCCAAGTATCGATCTGAAAGTAAGCTTTCTTGATAAAGCAATTTCTCACCTTGTTCATGCCATTCCCCATGATGCCGGCGCGATGTCGGGCGTGTTCTTATAATATTACTGTTATTTAAAAACGCGAGTCGTGCACAAGTCCTCGTTCGGCCGCTGTCATCCTCAGTCTCTTGAGTTTATTTCTTGACGATCCGATTCGATTTCCATCGGCAAGATGGAGATACAATTTGTCAAGCAACATCCTCAATGTATCGCGATCGAGTCTGTCAAATTGTCACGTATCTGCTCGTATCATCGACGCAGCGCGAAATTGCGTGAACCACGTGACTCTCAACTCGATCGATTTTTTCTTTCGGCATTCGCAATATTATCAGTTCCTCTCTCTCTCTCTCTCTCTCTCTCTCTCTCTCTCTCTCTCTCTCTCCCCTGTTTCTGTTTTTATCTGTCGCCTTGATAATTTATTATCCTAGCACGTCGTAATCATTGGTGATTTATTCCAGCTCGCTAACATTATCATGCATAACGTTATTCTGAATTTTCTTCTGCATTTGGAGAGCCATCGCTTTTGCAATCGTGCCTCTCGATAGCTGCATCTGCCTACGTAACGCAAGACTGCATTTCAGAAAAGGAAAGCACGTACGTTCTGATTCTCAAAGCGCGAGCGCGCATTTATATTCACGTCTTGCTTTTTGCGGACTCTTTATCGAACTCCTGTATGGTCGTCCCAACGGGGAAGATTTCGTTTACATGCGAATTCATTCTCGTCTGGCCTCGTACGGCCATGGGAAAAACGGAAAGGGACCGCGTCTTAAGCAGATCTTCGGCGCGCGAGTGGGAGCGATCAACTTTTCAATACAGAGCGGTGTGTTGTGTGAAAAATAGAACCGTCTTTAAGAAGTTACCTGCTACGATAGTGACGCCCTGCAAGAGAAAAAAAATATTGGTTGAAAAACTTTCTCAAAGATGATATACATGGCTGGCGCAGCGAAAATAATGATAGAAGGAATTTGTCTTGAGTATCGATTAGCGATACATGAAGCATGATTGCCTCGTTCGAAAGAGGAAACGTGCGCTTATTCTTTCAAGAAAGTGGGACAAGTTATTGATAAATTGTCGTTGCCGCGTTTCTGACGTATGTCGCGTGATCTCGTCTTAAAAACAGGCAAACCGAGATTTCTCGAATGAACAATGACGCGCCTTTAAATTATATGCGTCGAAAGCAGCTACGTCATCGTAGAATAGAAATAGCGAATATCCGCGAAGAGTTATTATAAATGATAACCGAAATCCTTGTTAAAAACTGCTGGCATTATTTCAGAAAATGGATAGGGAACGCGAGTTTATCGATTACTTTAAGATCAATAAGATGGATTATAAGGACCTAGGAAGTACGTTAACCCACTTTACCAGTAATATAGTCAGGTGTGCATATAATGGTGTCCGAGATTTAGCCTTCAACGAACAAATTTCTCCGTACAATATTTAATTCAAGTAGATAGTGCGATTGATCGCACAGAGAAAATTCTGTTCACTGTCAGGGACACCGAGTCGAAATATTTCTTGGCAGAAAAATAGCGTTTCCGTTGGCCAAAGTGGCGCATAGGAATAGACGTGTTTTGCTTGCACTTGGATATGACAGAAGCACAAGGCTGCATGCGTTTATGTAAATTTGTTTTATGTAAATTCTAGCCCAATATATTGGTTTGATGCTGACACGACGTATTTTGCTACATAACGGCAAAACACACTTTACGATGCAGCATGCGTTCTGATTTCGTTCGCCAAGGCGAGACACATTAAAACACGCGAAACGCTTTATTTACTCGCAATTGTTTATTTTCGATGAAAATTGTAGAACGTAATAAAATATGTAATTGCGATACGACGAAGATGAAGAAATTTCGCTTTCCTTATTTGAATTAATTAATTTGGTCGACCGCCAAGAAAAAAGTTGATTGATGTAGCTGAAAGTTATATTAATTGCAACGACAATTCACGGACTCTTTACGACGACTTCGTAATTAATATCACATCACTAATTAGTAAGTGAATTAGTATGAATTATCACTATATTATGAGTTTGTTTTAAAGGCGCATGATCAGGACATACGTAGTTTTAGTTAAAAAGTATAGGAGGAACTGAATGTTAAAGAATTTCTTAAAATAAGATTTTGGAAACTATATACAAATTTCAAGATAGAAAAAATCATGTTTTAAAAACGTTTATTTTTTTAAAACAATTAACAACTCTTTTTTAAATGTAATATATATTAAAACTTAACAGCTCTTTTTTAAATGTAAAATATAATATAATATTAAATATCACAATTGTTTTTGTCTTTTTTTAAACTCTTGAATTGATACCATAAAATTATTAACAGCTGTTAATTTAATATTTGAAAATTAAAAACTGAAAAGTTTAAAGAAATATTATTTTTATTCCAAAAATATTATTTTATTCGCATTAAAACTTTTGCCTCAAAAATGAATTGGTCATAGTAGTTTAACACTTTATCGTAATACAGAGAAGATAAAGAGAATAACTAAGCAATTGCAATACCGGAACAAAGATTTTTCCTTATTTATCTATGTTACTTAATCTTTCATCGGTTCATTTAATCATATCAGTATTACATTGGCATTCGGTTCATAAATCTGTAAGTACAGAGAGAGATTTACATAATAAATAGGTATAATAAATATGTAAAAATAAATAAGTACAATAAATATGTAAAATTTTGATTTATTGTAATTACAGTCGACATCTATAAAATTCTGTTATCAATCTGATTTAATAATAATCTACATATATAAAACGTAATTTATTTTAAAGAGAGTATCTTCATTTCGTAAAACGAAGCATCGGTATTATAATCACTAACATAAATAACTTTCAGGATATTCGATATTATCCAGATTTATTTTATATTCGCAACTGAGAATGCCGCTATTTTATTACTATATAAAAGTTATCAATTTGCTATTCAGATTCAAATGCAATTGCATGCGAAAGTGCAGCGCATCCTGTGATGTTGACCTACTCTTAAAATAAAACTGCGAGCCGATTTGTGTAGCCAGTAAATCTAACAAAAAAGTGCAAAAACTAATGGTATCCATCCAATCGGCGGATATTGTTATTCGAAAAGTTTTTATGGGAAGTTTTTTTTCTTGTGCAAATCAATTGCATAAATTTAATTCATTAAAATAGGAACGTGTCAACGTGACGCGTATCATAAAATTCTTTCGTCAATTCTATCTAGATCTAGATCTATCAGCTGTTGGATTTCCTTTGATCTCAATCTTTGATCTCGTATAAAGCGCATATTGCAATTAGCCTGTAATCAAGCTAAAAGCTGTACGTATTATAAATGATGTAGCAAATTCGCATCTAGTTCGCTGATATTTCTCTCAAAGAATCGAAATGAATGCTTTAATGTGAGAACGACGATATTAGAATACTTATTTACATAATAACAAAGCAGAAGATTAATAATTTCATCATCCGCGATGAATGAACACTTGGTCAAGGAACGCATCTGTCCAAAGGGCAATCTCCGAAAAGAGAAAAGATGAAAAAGCATTTGAGACGCACCTGCACAATTCACGTTCCACACTGATATCGCAAGAAAAAGATGCCGGGGAGAATCCCTTTGGGAGAAATTGCTCTGCGTTATCGTGGATTCTCGTTGCACTCGCGGGAGTTATCTCTCGTCTCTTTCTCTCTCGCTCTCTCTCTTTCTCCTTCTTTTCATCTATCTCATTCTCTCTCTCTCTCTCTCTCTCTCTCTCTCTCTCTCTCTCTCTCTCTCTCTCTCTCTC